AGAACTTTTACTTCAACGTGAATGAGCAATGGGCAGCCCAGTTATTGCCGAATACTCCAGTTCCTTCGTCGGTGGCTGGTTGTGGAGTTCCTCGAAAGTCGGCGGAGGGCGATGAAAGGAGCTCTGCCTCCCAGGCACCGCACTCCCTATTCGATGGAGTCTCCGCCGAGTTGCTGCGATCGAATCGCCAGCAATTTCAGCAGCTCAGACAGTGTATGCTTTCTGTGACTGCCCCACATGCCGATATCTATTTGGTTGGTATACATATTTGTTATCTTAATAATAATATTAATAAAATCTTTAATCTAACAGGTGGTGCGAGTGGAGAAACTTCTGCAATCTGGAATAGCTCAGGCTGCAGAACCCTATCTAAAAGCTGGCAAGGATCCCAAGTTGGGTCAGAAAGTCTACAAGGCGGCAAAGAGTTGTGCTCAGCACATTGGGCACTATAGACAGCCTTTTGCCTGGGCAGCAAGACCTCTGTTCAAGCAATACAGCCACGAATTGGATGTAGATCCCAAAAGAGAGTTCGAATTCAGTCCCATTTACCGCCAGGAATTACCCAAACTGAGAGACGATGAACTCCTCAAGCTGTTGATCGATTACCGCAAGCCGGAGAAACTGAGCAAACTAACCATCATTCCTGGTAGCCTGAAGATGCAGATGCAGTTTCTGGACCAAACGACGCCGTGTGGCTTAAGTAAATCCCTGGCTCCTTTGTCCACTTTTAGTCCAAATTCCAAGCAATCGCCCACTGTCGAGTTGGCCGAATTCCAGAGCCAAAGTGAACGGGATGCGCATCCTTATACGAGTTTCTGCAACCACCTCTATGTGTATCCCTTGAGTTTGCAGTTCGACAGCCAGAAATTATTCTCGCGAGCCAGAAACATCACGGTTGTGGTGGAGCTACGGGATGGCGATGGGGAGTACAGCAAACCTTTGAAGGTAAAAAGCGAATATTTGTTTTTTAAAAATTTATATTAAATTCCCTTGATTGCAGTGCATCTATGGTCGCCCTGGCCAGGACCTTTTGGTATCCCAGATAGCCTGCCCGGTGCTTCATCACAATGTCACGCCCACTTGGTACGAGGAGATCAAGCTACGACTTCCTTTGGGTCTTTTTCCGGAACACCACCTGCTCTTCTCCTTTTACCATGTTTCCTGCAATCTGAGCAAGAAAAGGGATGCCCATGCGGCTTTTGAGACACCTATCGGATATGCTTGGCTGCCGTTGCTTCAGAAGAATCGCATTTGCTTGGAGGAACAGCAGCTACCGGTGGCTGCCACTTTGCCAGTGGGCTATCTCTCGATTCAGCCCCTGGGATGGGGCAAGGGGGTAAGTTATAGACGTCGTGTGCTTCGCTCAGCCGTTCATCAACTCATGAATTGTTTGTTTTGTCTCTTACCCAAACATACCCATATACCACATACCCATCCATTCATTCCCTGGCTTGCCAACTAACCTGTGCTCTCTTTCTGTGTTTTTTTCTCCGCACTGATCTGCATGCTTACTGCACCACCACCACCAATACCAACCACAACCCTCCCTTGGCTGCCTACAAACCCTTCCAATTTCTCAGCAGAACTGCGGACCGGATATTCAGTGGATTGATAATCAGAGGAATCTCTACACGGTGGGATTGCGTCTGGATTCCACGGTTCTTACGGCCGATCAGCACTTGCATAACTTTTTTGGACACTGCGAGAGATTACTGGAGGGTGGAAAAACTGGAGCTGTGCCGGCGGAAACGGAAACCTGCAAGATTTTGAAAGCAGCCCACGCCATCGATATGAAGTCGCTGATTAACTATCTACCTACGCTACTCAATGAGCTCTTCACTCTGCTTGTTCACACTCAGTCCGAAGAAATAGGCTTAAATGTGATCCGATTGATAACGAACATTATCCATTTGATAAGCGATCAGGCTAAGAGAGCCGATCTCTTGGCAGCCTATGTGAAATATGTGTTTCATGCACCCTACTACAGCCAGCAAACTGCTAGGCAGAGGACAGTCCATGGAGAACTCTGCAGGCACTTGCCGTACCTCCTGAATCCCAGTAATCCCGATTTCCTGATCGTCAACAAATTCATGAGATACTCCTCGATATTCTTCGATCTAATTGTAAAGAGTATGGCCCAACATTTGCTGGCCACTGGCAGGATTCGAATGCTGCGCAACGAGCGGTTTCCCAAGGAGTATGCCGATCGGGTGGAGCAATTGATCAAAGCTTTAATGCCCTACATAACCACTCGATTTGAGGATTTGGGCGAGGAAACGAATCTGCTGAATCGCTCCTTGTCTAAATTTGTGCGCCAGTGTCTGACTTACATGGACAGGGGATTTGTCTTTCGATTGATTCGCTGTTACATGGGAGAGTTTTCGCCTGGCAATCCGCGGATACTCCACGAATACAAGTTCAACTTTCTGCAAGAGATTTGCCAGCATGAGCACTATGTACCGCTTAATCTGCCATTTGTTCTGAATCCGAAGAACAGACCTCCCGAAATGATGCAGCACTTTACTCTTTCCGAGCAATTCTGCAGGCAGCATTTCCTATCGGGACTGCTGCTCCAGGAACTAAAGAGTAGTCTCAATGAAGTGGGTCATGTAAGGCGACATGGTCTGGGAATCTTCAAGGATCTCCTGGCCAAGCACGAGTTGGATAACCGATATCAGCAGAGGGGTCAGCTCTCTAGGATCGCCCTGCTCTATGTTCCCTGGCTGGGCGTTGTGATGGACAACATCCACCGGATTGATGACTTGTCGGAGTCTGGAGCCTGTACGCCCAATGGTCATGTTTATGCGGACTCTGCTTCCTACACCAAGCGCTTGAGTTGCTCTAGTAGCTATGTATTCAGCAAGGACTCCTCCACTTTTGGCTCCTTGACTTCGACTCCGCGTTCGAAGAATCGACTGACCGTGCACTGCGATCAGCCGAGTCCATATCGCACTTCGGTTCACATCAAGGAGCACAACTACTTGGCTGCCATCGCTGGGCAGCCCATCAGCAATGGCATCTCCAATCTCTCACTTAATTCGAATACGGATTCGGGGGTGAGTTTTGGGTGTATTAAAAATAAATCCCACTAAAACATGCATCCCTATTTTCAGCACTCACAGGACACCACCACAATTGGAGCCTACACCAATGGAGATACAGATGTGGCCCTGAGGAATGGACACAATCGCTCGGTGAGCGTCACCCATGCACAGATCCTCTCCCGTTGCGATAAATTCAGTTCCGTGGAGAGCAAGGACCTTCTCCTGGGCTTCTTGTTCATCATCAAGCACCTCTCGCAGGACCAAATGGTGGGCTGGTGGCAGAACTGCAATGAATCCGAGACCCTGCAGTTTCTCTCCATTCTGGATCTCTGCCTCCTCCAATTTCGCTATGTGGGCAAGAAAAGTGTGGTGATAACTTCGGATACCCGGCAAGGACGTTTGGCTAAGGCCAACACTCTGCCAGCAAGGACACAACCACCCACAGGGTTGGAAAATGGCAACCAGGAACAGCAGCCAAATAGTGGAACTCTGAATCAAACCAGGGAACATCTCCTGGAGGACATGGATACTCTGGCTAGGAGTCAATTGGCTCTTTATGAGTCTAATTTGGCCACCGAAGTGGGCATGATAATATTGGATTGCTTGGGGATGTATGTCCTGCAATTCAGGCAACTCCTGGCAGACAGCTTAATCCTGCCCAAAGTGGCAAGGGTTTACCTGAGATTCCTGCAGTTGGGCCAATCGGAAAGGCTCTCCAAACACGTCTTCGCTGCCTTGAGAGCGTTTATCAACAACTATGCAATGGCCCTGTTCAAAGGCAATGCCATGTTGTGTGGTCAGATGGTTTATGAGCTCCTGAAGGCCTGCGATAGTCGCCTGGTGGAGATTCGCCACGAATCTTGTGCGGTTTTATACCTTCTCATGCGCAGTAACTTTGAGTTCAGTGGCAGGAAAGCTCTGACGCGAGTGCATCTGCAAGTTATAATCTCAGTATCGCAGATGATTGGCAACGTAATCGGGCTGAACAATGCCAGGTTTCAGGAGAGCCTGTCCATCATCAATAGCTATGCGAATAGCGATAAGGCGATGAAGGGCACCGGTTTCCCCATGGAGGTCAAGGATTTAACGCGACGAGTTCGAACTGTGCTCATGGCAACTGCCCAAATGCAGGCTCACCACATGGATCCTGAAAGGTTGCTGGAACTGCAGCATTCCTTGGCCAATTCATATGCCTCCACGCCAGAGCTCCGGCACACTTGGCTGGTGACCATGGCCAGAAATCACGAGCAGAATGGAAACTTTTCGGAGTCCGCCTGTTGTCATCTCCATATAGCTGCTTTGATGTGCGAATATCTGCGCTTGAGAGGTGGTTGCTCTCTTAGTTGGTCATCAACTGCTTTCGGGAAGATATCTAGGAATATACCCCTAGATGAGCAGGGCCTGAAACTGGATGCCGGTGCTCAGGACTCGCAGTACACAGAACAAATGCTCCTGGAGCAACTGAAGCAGTGTGCCGATTTCTTGGACCGCGCCGAAAGATTCGAGTGCCTCGGAGAGCTCTACAAACTCATCCTGCCCATGTACGAAAGGGATCGCAGTTACCTAGACCTGGCCCACTGCTACGAACATCTCACCCAAGCCTATAATAAAATCGTAGAGGTGAATCGTTCAGGAAAGCGAATGTTGGGTCGCTTTTACCGAGTCGTCTTCTATGGAATGGTGAGCTAATTCACAGTAAGTTGTGGTCTTAAATAATATTTATTTCTATTTTTAGATGTACTTTGAAGAGGATCATGCCATCGAGTACGTGTACAAGGAGCCAAAGCTAACTTCGCTGAGCGAAATCTCCGAGCGACTGGCGAAACAGTACAAGGAGAAGTTTGGAGCCGATGTGGTCAAGATGATCATGGACTCGTCACCGGTAAGTGAATTTATATGAACGTTATTTATTAATTAATCAATTCCAAACCCGTAACCATCAAAACAGGCAAATCGAAGTTTTTTTGATTATATTTTTGTCTAAAGAGTGAGATAAAGAAGCAAAGTATTTTTGCTGGTCTATTGAGTTTTGACAAACAATTATATTTTAAAGCGAAGCAACAAATCCATATAATCCATCTGCAAATCATTTGAACAGATATTCATTATAGAGCAGATCCGAATCGCTGTCGCCGCGCATCAGGCTCATTCGCTAGAAATAAATTACAGAGTTTTATAATTATAGTTATACAATTGAATGATAAATTTACCCGCTTAACCTCCGTTTGACGCATCATGGAAGCATTTGTGCTTCTTGGAATCATTCGCTGCGAGGTGCCGTGGGGCTGCTTTGAATTGGACATGCCCATTCTATTGGTCACGGCACTTTTGCCCGCCTTGCAACTAAGGGAAATTGTTAATAGTAGTTTTTTAGTATATCAGGGAGGCGTATTATTTTACAAACTATTCAAAATATTTTATGAAATCAAATTACTTCATGTTGCTGTGATTTAAAAGGGATATGAACTCACGTATGATTTGACTGCTGTTTCTGTACTGAGGTACTGGCTTTTCCTGGCCTGGTCACGCGACCTGCTGCAACTGCTGACATATTGCCCGACTGCTGATAAACACATCCCGATTTCGCAGCAGCCAACCTATTTTGCTTGCGTGGTGCACCGTGTGGACATGGATCTATTTGGACCTTCCGTTGGGTAGTAGATCCGCCCGGAATATGAACACCAATCGCAGTGGAACGAAATCTCTGAATGGTTGAAGGGGTGGCCTGTACCGGCTGCATCATGGAACGGCCGAAAACCGAACTTCTGTGAGCTTGTGGTCCGTTCTGGAGGCCACTTGATCCTGGTCCTCGGGCAGAGCATTTGGCCTTGGCCGATTTGTAGACCCGGGGAAAGGAGGACGGCACACTGTTGGTTATCACAGATTTGGCCGGCATTGTTTGTGATACGTCTAAATGAAAGTCTTCTACCATCATGGGCTCAGTACTTTGCTCAGCCTCATTTAGCTGGTTGACCAACTGAGATCCCTCGGAATCTTCGTACCTGAAATGATGTAAAAGTTCTATAAAGTTCTTCAGTTAAAGCTACTTTCCATTTAAGGCTCACCTGTAAAGATTTCCCCTAACATATTCCATTGGAATCGATGGGCCGACACTTTCTCTCGGCGGTGAGCTGATCAACTGGGACTCGTCATCTCCTGCATAAGCATCTGCCTCCACATCTGGTTTCCTACCATTGTTGGACATGCAAACGGTGACACTAGAAGACTGTGCCGTGGGTGGTGGGACCACTGTGCTCACTCTGCTAGCAGATCGATTAATGGGAATCTGATCCCGACTAACAATCAATCCGAGCCTGTGGCACAACTCCTTGAAGGCCTTGTGAGTAACCAAGTCTTGATAGCTCATCGGTTCCGTGAAGGTGAAGAAGTTCTCGAAGGCCTTGATGCCCTCGATCTGGTGCTCGATTTCCACCTCCGTGTAGCTGCGATTGGAGCACAAGGTGCACCTGGGACAGACGGAACCATCTCCGCTAATCTCATACTTCTCGCTCAGAAGGTCGTTAACCCGAATTAGAAACTGGGCCACCAGAACGCTCTCAGGTCTGCTGGCCAGCTTTTCCTGATCGCCCACAGCCAGTCGGAGGCTCTGGCGCTCGTGGAAGATGGGACTAATCGAATCCGGAGGCTGTAGCTGGTGGACCGGCTGCTTTGCGGTGAATGTCATGCTGAGACCTTGGCCACCTGGTAACAAACCCACCGAGATCTCGTCCAGAGGCATTTGTTCATCTCCCAATTGGCTGAGGAACTCGAAGATCTGACGCTGGAAATAGAATCCATTTTCTGCACGATTCACGGCATCGCCAACGATTTCGGGTTTCGGTAATGTTGTAGTTGATGTCGCCTCCGTTTTGGTTTCTGCACTTGGAAACTGGCGATAAGAGGGCACGAACTCCACCGCGTTCGGATTGAGAGAGTACTCCGGTACACACGGAATCGGACTCTGATGCGGCATCCTTACCAATCCCAGACCCATCCCATGCGACGGGAAGGCGAAGATCTGCTCCATAACGGAAACAGACGGGGAACTGGTGAATACTGACTGGATGTCCGGCGATCTGATGAACTGGTGGTTTGTGCCAAATATCTGAACGCGAACTGTATACAAAATTTGGATACTACTGCGGCTCTAGTGTACGGACAGTGGTTGTTGTATAAAAATAACAAACAATTTACTAGTAACTAGTAAAGTTGTTGAATTGTTTGAACTACATCGGTTGAGGGTAGGAGTGATATTCTGATTTTTCCCTAAGTGACGACTTGATTTCAAAGTCACGGGCATAGCGAATAAATGTTGTATTTTATAAACAAATATTATTTTATTTTTTTAACTAGTGTAATTAATTTACTAGATTTAAAGCCGCTTTTCTCATTGAAAATGTACATTTTTACATTATATATTTTAATATTTTATAAATCCACCTTACTATTTTTTTTCAGGTTAAAGTGGACGAATTGGATGCCAAACTTGCCTACATACAGGTCACCCATGTGATTCCGTTCTTCTCCAAAGACGAGCTTGACCAGCGGCTCAATGAATTCGAGCAGAATCATGATGTGGACACTTTTATGTACGAAACCCCGTTCACCAAATCGGGAGCAGCCCGTGGCAGCGTAGAAGAGCAATGGAAACGCAAGACAGTTATAAAAAGTATGAAATATCTTCTTTACATTTTACAATAAATATTACCTCTTTTATCTTCGCAGCTCAATATTCCTTCCCCTACGTTCTCAAACGTATACCCGTAAAATCCCGCGAAATCATCGAACTTAGTCCCATTGAGGTGGCGATCGATGAGATGCAATCCAAGGTTTCAGAGCTGGAGGAGATTATTCTCCCGCCAGCCGATGTGAAGAAGTTGCAGCTGCGTCTGCAGGGAAGTGTGGCGGTGACGGTAAATGCCGGTCCTTTGGCCTACGCCCATGCCTTCCTCGATGCAAAGGTGGTCAATAACTTTTCACTGGATCGCGTTGGAGATCTTAAGGACGTCTTTCGGTATGTTACAACCTAAATAGTTTACAAATTCAAATCGCTTTTTATTAATTGGGTGTTTTCCTTTGCAGCGACTTTATTGTGGTCTGCCAGAAGGCTCTGTTCCTCAACGAGCGGATCATCAGCGCGGACCAGAAGGAGTACCATCATGTGCTGAAGGAGAACTACGAGAAGCTGTGCCTGGCGCTCAGTGAGTTGCTCGACGACGAGTCCTTCCAGCCGCTCGGCGACGATGCCGACAGCATAAACCAGCGCAACAGCATGGCTTTGTTCAATGCGATCAGTGGCGCCTCCCATAACTCAAGTACTGCTTAAGTTCAACAAAATTCAGAAACTCAGTCACCCACACGCACAGCTAACCAAACAAATGTTGATTACCGAATGTATTCAAATAACACGAGCCTGTGACGTAGGCGTAGATAGCGTAAAGCGTTAGCGTAACCACAACGTAGTCGTAACATAGACTCTATTGGTGTTCCCTTGTTTGATGTTGTCGTTGAATTTGAAATTGAAATTGTCTTGCGGCAGGTAAAGCTCGATGTTGGGCTCAACGGTTTGAGTCTCGGCTGAGGGAATGCGCACGTGACTAACCCCACAAAAAAAGAAAAACTAAAACAAACCCAAATTTGGTGGCTATTAATCCGAACCCAGACTAACCGCAACCGCTTAATGACAAAATTTGGCTAACCTAAGCTAACTATACGTTCTGTGACCCCCTCCCAAAGCTTTTCCATTTTGTATTAACGAGTTTGTAATTCTCCCTTTTTAGGACCGTATTTTGTTGAGCAAAATACCAGCAACAACACCCACCACCACAGTTCCCACATAAACACACAGAACTCCACACACCATTCATAACCGATAACCGAACTATATATTCTGTGCTAAACGACCAGTTCCATAAGTTCCAGTTAACCGAAATCACTTGTTAATTTCTATGACTAGGCCTAAGCGACTATGTTTTAAATTACCTATTGATTGTTGTTAGATTTTTATGTTGACCGATTTGATTTATTTTGATTTCTCATTTACAATTGTGTAATATATCTGTATAACCTTTCATAGCATGCCTGAAAATTGATAGATGCCGAATCTAGTTTTTAATTTAGTTTTAAGATTTTCTACTATGATTATTTTTTATTTTGACAGATTTCTGTACATTTTTGATTTCATTTTAGTAGGCTATCTGCAACCTGTACCAGTTACTTTATTAGATCAAATCTGCTAACGTTTGTGTCTTCTTCAAATCTCGAAATGGCTAAAGAATCGTTTAATAACTTAATTATTCCTAAACGTAAATGAAATTAGTTTTAGTGTTAACAAACTAGACAAATAAGTTCCCGCAAGCAACAGAACTTACCAAAGTATTCAGATAAAGGAAATACCTATTAAACAGATCTACGGATATATATTTACATACGTGCATTTTCTAGTGAAATCGTATAAAGAACTAAATACAAATATATGCATTAAATGTTAGAGCAAAAGCGTTTTACTGTTGGGTTCAATTTGTATTTATTAACAATTTTTTAAAATTATTTAACAATTTTGCTCATCATGCGCGGATCGACACAGAAATATGTTATTACAAATTTTGCTTATAGAAATTTTGCTGCGAACTAAACCGAACAAACGAATGTTAGGCGTTTTGGAAGCCATCAATGTTGGATTGAACAGTCAATGAGTCAAACAATCAATCAATCAACCAATCAATGTTCCGTTTAAGGCTACATAAATATGTAAATTTTAATCATCTCCTTCTGGCTTAGGCTAGTTAGAATTACAAGCGGACATTGGGATTCCGGGAGCGGACGAAGTTCAGCAGCTCGTCGGAGTCCTCGCACACGAATGGCTTGATGTGATGACAGGCCACGTCGTGCCACTTGATGCCATCGTTGTAGAAGTTGTTCAGGATGGACAGGCAGCTCTCGTCGTTGCCCTGGGCAGCCTCCCGGTTATCGGGCTGCGCCTGCTGGTATCCGCCCGTGGCCGACCAATCTCCGGTGTTCCTCTGCGAGGTGGGTCCAATCTTAGCCCCCGATCCCGACCAGAACCATCCGTTCTCGTTGGGCGGCTGCAGATCGGGTCTGTCGCAGCCGGCAAAGTTGCACTTCCTGCCCGAGGTCCAGATATATCGCACATTGCCCCTGGCGATCCGCTGCTTCACAAAGTCATTCTCCTGCGGCGTCTCCAGGGAAACGGCGTCCATGCAGTGGCGACGGCAGATGTTCCTCGCGTCCAGCCAATCAACCTCCAAACTGCGAGTGGGAGCATGCTCCCAGCTGAAGAAGTACGAGTGGGACACGCCCCGGGCATCTCGGTAACTGGCATGGCGCACCCGGTTGGCACAACTTCTCGGATCGGGAAGGGCCAGGCGACGCTGGGCCAGCGCCACGGTGGCACTCAAAGCCAGCAACAGCAGTGCACGCAGCACAGACATATTTGGATAGCTGAGAAAAAGAATGGAAAAGTTAATTAATTTTGTTCGATTCGCAAAGTTCATTTGTTTATTTCATCGTTTAAATAATCTCCGATTTTGAAATAATATCAGTTGTTAATCTCAAGAAATTCTTCACAACTTAAACTACAAATTTTAAAAATTATTTTTATAGAACAGAGGATTAATTATAGACACCGTGTTATAGCCACCAATTACACCAGCAGACCTGTTTGAATTTCTGACAAATCCAGAGTAGCCTAACCCCCAAAGTTTGGCCTAAAACTGATTTAAAATCAAACTCTGACTAGGCTTGGATCTGATTTGCCCCACCCATTGCATTTCCGCTTGGATGAGTCGCTGGGTTTTATGCAAAATCACTGATTGGAAATGCTTTGCATCGATTTTGATCAATTTTGAGTGTATTTTGTATATGGAATTTGTCGCTTACAATTGTCATTTTGCACAATTTGATTCCATTTCGGCTAATTAAGTAGTTTTCCATTTCGGCGAGAGGCCTTCAACCTGGTTTCTATTTCGTAACGTGAGAACAACTGACTTTTATTTCGCCCAGCAACAGGGAGAGATCTTTTAACTTGTACCTATGCAAATAAGCTTATTGTTTTATATCGGAACATAAAAACCATGAAAATTGTATGCAAATTTTTTGATGTGTTCATTGATGTGCGACTGGTTCTGGTTATGAGCCACTTGGTAAGTAATCAAAATTACATCTTATGTAAATTGTCTGCTTGCAATTAGATCCGGATTTAAATTGGCTGATCTAAGCTGGGGTTCCATTTTATTGGGAATGGCTGAAACGCGTGCTGGGCTTTGTCTATTGAGTACAAAAAAAAGTTAATTATCGTTAACTAACCAAAGCAAATTGCAAATTAGTGGAAATAAATTGTTGATTGAAAAGCTCATACAGTTGAAGGAAAAATTGTCAAAGTAAAAGATTTTTGGTAAAATAAAAAAAAAACAAAATACTTTTAAATGATCTTCTATTTTTTTCCGAATAAGAAAATCCTTTTTTTTTAATTCTTTAAAGGTATACTTAAAATATTCATGGCTTTTTTCCCTACTGAAAGTCAATAGGAGACACAGTGACCTCAAAAAAATTACCAAACCGTAACTGACCTAGCCCAAAAACCTGACCTATCCAACGCCAAGAAACTCCAAGTCCCCACGCACACTCGGCAACAGTCTGGAACATGCATATATGGCCATTAGTTAGTCAGAGACATTCCAGTACTCCGGCGTTTCTAGCTCAGCTGAAGCCCAGAGTTTGTCTTGTGCATACCAAACTAATAAATACTCGCAGTTAATGGAGAAAGTTGCCCGAGTTCGGGGCTCTGAGGCCCCGACCATGGTCATGCATTACACATGTGTATATTGGTGGGTCTTTCGGTCTCTGGTCAATATTCGAAACTCTTCCGCCTGATAACACTTTTGGCCTGGGCCTTTGTTTTGGCCACGCGCAATTGCATGTTTTTTTCCCCGTTTTTTTACGGCTAGTAAATTTTGTAATTTGAATTTCCGTTGCCTCATTTGCTCTTCCTACTTAAAGCACCACCAATACGTTTGGCATATGACAGGCTTGTTCATCTTGCCAGCTAATTGCCGTGGGTAAGGGCATTGGCAGCTGGTGAAATATTTCCGAACCAATTGTCTTCACCTCTTCTTTCGGGCACTTGCTCCCAAGTAGCTCATTTTGTCTCATTTTTGTTTGCCTTTTGATTTTTTTGTATTTTGTGGCTTGTTTTCTTTTCTTATGCAATACTGGCTTTAT